TTATACACTACTGAAGTCTGTGTGCAGAGACAGCTAGTACAGCTCAGTGATGTGATGCCATATACACATTTTGTCAAAAGCAGAGGGTTTAACGGCCACCAGTTTGAGTTAGTGCATCATCTTCACTCTGAGTTTGGTGATTTTGCTTATCACCATCAAGTATGGTGGTTGAGTCTTGGGAGAGGGCTCAAAAGGTTTGACAAACTTCTGGGTGAGGTCAAAGCACTTCATGGTGATGAAGGAAAAACATTGACAGGGAACACACAGCAAGTGGCTGTGTGATCTGGCGTTCATGGTGGAGATGACCAAGTACCCCTCAGAGCTGAATGTCAAGCTGCAGGGCCCCATACAGCTTTGCAGCTCTCTGCTTTCAAACACCAAGTCATCTGAAGCTAAACTGAAGTCGTGGAAAGTGCACCTCGAAAGGAGTAACACAGTGCATTTCCCCACCCTGGAAGGACTAAAGCCTTCTAGGACACTTGAATATGCTGGTGAGCGTGGGGAACTGGTTGAGGCATTTAATTAGACTCAAGGACAAGATAAATAAACAAATTGACCATTTTTGCTACACCATTCAATGTGGAACCAGCTGAGGTGCCTGAGAACCTGCAAGACAAGATCATTCAGCTGCAAAGTGATGAGCTGGAAGCTAGGTACAACAACCTCCCTCTGCTTCGTTTCTGTAAACCTTACATAAGCAGTGATGTGTTTCCTACTTTGAGGAAACCTGCATTGAAATACTCATCTGTGTTTGGAACAACTTAACTGCTGCGAGCAGTTCCTTTTCAAAACTTATCATCCAAAGTGCAGACTGTGCTCCAGCCTGGCTGATGCAAACATGGATGGAAAAGTAGTTATCAGTAGCGACATCTTCAACAGCTAACAGCACACGCCTCACCAAAGAAGTTCCAGCCATCACATGGATGAATTTATTGTTTGATCAAATACTGCAGGCAAATTTTTAAGTTGGTAATTTTGTATGGCCAATGAATGTTATAAATATTCAAATGCTGCTTGGCTGAAAAAGGTTTCCCAACCTTGCTTTAAAATAAAATATTGTCTTAATCTTATAACATGTTGCATAATGAAGTCTTCTGAAGGCTGTCTGCACATAAATTGTTATTTTTCTCAAAATACAACTTGCAGATTGTAATTTTGATACAGAAATGGCAAATTAAGCTCCAGGCTGTACTGACACACCGACATAAGGAGTTTCCTGGCTTTTGCCAAGAGTTTGTTGAAATCTTTTAAATCTAATGTCTACCTCTAGACTTAATTTGCATTTTCTAAGGTAAAGATCTTTTCATATTAAAGATTTGCATGTTTATCAGTTAATATCTTCCATGATTTTTAAAATTGATTTTCTCTATTGACCTGGATATGTTGCAATGCTGTTTTCCATACTCCCTTTTATCTTGTCTTGGAAGTTGGGTTTTTCTTTTTTTTTTTTAAAGATTCGAGGGGCCGGTGCTGTGCCGTAGCAGGTAAAGCTGCTACCTGCAGTGCTGGCTTCCCATATGGGCGCTGATTCGAATCCTGGCTGCTCCACTTCCTACCCAGCTCTCTGCTATGGCCTGGGGAAAATGGCCCAAGTCCTTGGGCCCCTGCACCCACATGGGAGACCCGGAAGAAGCTCCAGCTGTTGCAGCCATCTGGGGAGTGAACCAATGGATGGAAGACCTCTCTCTGCCTCTCCTTCTCTGTGTAACTCTTTCAAGTAAAATAAATAAATCTTAAAAAAAAAAAAAAACTCATTTGAAAGGTAGAGTAATAGAGAGATCTCCCATCCACTGGTTCACTCCCCAAATGACCTCAACTGGCCAAGCCAAATTCAGGACCCTGGAACTCCATATGGGTCTCCCACATGGGTAGCAGGGACCCAAGTACTTGGGCCACATTCGCTGCTTTCTAAGTATTTGTAGGGAGCTGGATTGGAAGCAGAACAGCTGGGATTCCAACTCGCCCTCTGCTATGGGATGCCACCATCACAGGCAGCGGTTTAATGTGCTGCACCACATCCATCTCTTGGCTTAGAAATTTTTGTTGGTCTGCCCAACACTTGCTGTCTCCAAGTGTACCACTTCCTTTATAGTTTGGGCCTGGTCACACTCAGGTCTTCCCCACTTCAACTACTTTTAAAAACCTCTTAGAAGTTTTAGTAGTTAACAGTTTCATCTTTGTTTTCCAATTTAAATCATGTTCATTTGGTAGAAGATAAAAACTGTATTTTACCCATTTGGTTATCCATTACGCCAGTATCACTTGTGCAATGATCTTCCCTCATAAATTTCAAGTGCCATATGTATACTGTATAAAATCTCTAATGTGTTAGGGCACTTACCTGGACACTCTACGGTAACACATGGGTATCACCTATTGTGCCTCAGTGGGCTCGGGTAGTTGGGTTGTTGCCACCACAAGGGAGACCTGCACTGAGTCAGGGCACCTGGGTCAGCCCCAGCATCCCAGGAGTTTGGGGAATGAACTGCTCGATGGGAACTCTCTTTCTCTCAAATAAACTTTACTTTTTAAATCCATGTAGCTTTTTCATATGTATCTTCCAAGAAATTTGGAAAGTACCCTTCTCTGTAAGTTATTGGTTTCTGTTTAATACTGTACCAAATTATCTGCCTGAAACTGCTTGTTTCTAATTTTCTTCTGACATGTTATAAAGGATGTTTTTACTTTACAAGTAAGAAATGTACCCAAGGAGATTAATTACCATATTAGACAATTTTAGTATGTCCACATAATGGGACATAATATTTAGAAATTAAGATGAACCAGGGCTGCCACTGTGGCGTAGCAGGTAAAGCTGCTGCCTGCAGTGCTGGCATCCCATATGGGTGCCAGTTCGAGACTCGGCTGCTCCACTTCTGAGCCAGCTCTCTGCTATGACCTGGAAAAGCAGAAGATGGCCCAAGTTCTTGGGCCCCTGCACCTGCACGGGAGAACCGGAGGAAGCTCCTGGCTTTGGACTGGTGCAGCTCTGCCACTGCGGCCACCTGGGGAGTGAACCGTGGGTAGAAGACCTCTCTCTGCCTCTCCTTCTCTCTGTGTAACTCTTTCAAATAAATAAATCTTTTTTTTTTTAAAAAAAAAAAGATGGAACTAAACATGTGTCAAAACAGATTATAAAACTGAAGGACAATGGAAAGCTACAGAAGTATACATATGTGATAACTTTTTTCACAAACACTAAATACATTTCATTATTCTAATGGGCTGAGTTAGTTTCTCTTGTAATAAAGGTTTATCGATTGCTAATATGTAGTGAAATGGTTAAAACATGGCTAGGATGTCAACCACTTTCAGAAGAGTGGTTCTTTCTGAAAAGCAGACAGGGAATTATACATGGCAAAGTGCATAGGAGAGGGCAAAACTCTGGTTGCGGGCAACATGGACACAGTGAAACATCTGCAATCTGGTTGCATACTCATTTTTATCTCAAAACAATTGATTTGGACCAGGAAAAAGGAAAAAGCCAAAGGATTATGCCAAGTTCCTAAAATGTAGAAACTACCTTAACTGTCTGCTTCCTACCACTAGAATGTAATATGTAACGAGTTATTTCTCCTTATGTTCAATTGTATTCTCAAAATTCTAAAATGGGTACACATTCAGTTAAATAAAAAAAATTAGATTTTGCCTAAATAGGATGTTTTATTTTGACTTTTTTGAAAGGCAGAGCTTTTACAGAGGGAGGGAGAGGTCTCCCATTTGCTGTTTCACTCCCCAAATGGTCAAAAGGTCTAGGGCTGGGCCAGGCCAAAGCCGAGAGCTAGGAGCTTCTTCCAGGTCTTCCATGTGGGTGCAGATGTCCCAGTGCTTAGGCCATCCTCTACTAAATTCCCAGGCACATACGCAGGGAGCTGGATCTTAAGTAGAGCAGCTAGGATTCGAACAGATGCCCACATTGGTTCATTTGTAAAGAAACAATAAGGAGCAGGCACTGTGGTGGCAAAGAGGGTCAAGTCACTGCCTGTGGTGTCAGTACCCCATATATGAGCACCTGTTCCAGTCCTAGCTGCTCCACTTTTCATCCAGCTCCCTGCTAACATGCCTGGAAAAACAGCAAATGATGACCCAAGTACTTGGACCCTGCCCCTCATGTAGGAAATCTGGATGGAGTTCCAAGCTCCTGGCTTCACCTGTCCCAGCCTTGGCTGTTGTAGCTATTTGGGGAATGACTAGTGGACAGAATCTCACAGCATTCAGCATACACATACAGGATATTGTGTGCAACCCTGAGGGGACAACAGGTGCTTAGCCCTAACCACACTTGAGAAATAGAAACTGCGTGAGAAAGCTTTTGACATTTTTGAAACAGATACTAAAGCAGAGGGCTTTTGCTAACCTTGGGAAATAAAAAGCTAAATGGGGAAGCAGGCAGAAAAATAACAATGTAAAGGAAAAATAAAACTTTAGGCATCCTATGGAAGACTGTGACCCATAGTACACAGCCAATGAGGAACTGGAGGAGGGACTTACACAGTTGGAATAAATACTTCAGATTCCTTGCCCCAGCTGTGCCTACTGACCACTGACCTTGAAAGGTTGCTGACTTCATGGGTCTGAGTCCATCCTCTGATGGTTTGGTCATCTCTGGTGGGTTTATTTCTCACATTGGTACTTGATGGTAAAAGACTTACATGTTGACTCATCACAGAAGCCAAGTTTCTTTTCCTGATTTTTTTTTTTTACATTTCAATATTTCTACTTCCAATTTTTGGTAATCATTGTTTCAGCTCAAAGAAAACTTCTGTACTTCAGTTGCTCAGTTTGCATTAATTTCATAGATAAATTGTAACAAGGTCTCAGTCTTCATTGATATTGACTGGTTAAGTTACAGAGGGCAAAGTGGTTAAAGTTGTTAATGAAACAACAGATATCATTAAAGCTACAATTATCTTTCACCTCTAGTGTGTTCTAATTCTACAGAAGTGATGTCATTAGCCTCTGAAATAAATTTCATATTATAATAAACAGGCAATACACCATCCAAGTACAATTTTTTAATAAAGGTAATTACAAAAGATGGAAAATCAGCTCAGAAAGGCCAATTACTTCTTTAATAGATCAGCTTTTTGACATAATAACTCACATCAATTTTAAATACTATCACATAAAGCATGGTGGAGAAAAGAAATTTTGCTTCATAATTAGAAAAACTCACAATAAAACTTGCCAAGAAAAACAAAAACAAAAAAAGCCATTTTGAAAATAAATACAGTCCATGCCAAAGTAGTATAAAATGAAGCCAGAAGTCCTCAAAAAGAAAACATTTTTCTTCCCCAGTATTTTTTCTTTTTAAATGGTTTCTTGAAATTGATGACTTTCAAATTCAAGGGTTGCTGAGCTGTTCTGATTTGGCTCTGTTGAAAGAGGAAAGGTGAATATTAAAAACAGAACACTCTTGGTTTGAATGCACTGACCAATAATTCTGATTCAGGTCCTGTAGGTTCATGCCAAAAAATACACTCATTGACAAAGCTTTAGATGTTTTGAGACTAACCACTTCCATAATCTCTCTAGTTGTTTTACAATCTATTTCAAGCTATCTTGCAAAGTTAGCAGAAATTATGTGTGACCACATATCTGCATACTTTCTGACAATAAAATCCTGAATTATATTTTCATTCAAAACTTGTTTTATATTGGCTCAATGTTTCTTAAATTTATGTATTGCATAACACTAAAATACAGAAATAAGAGCACCATGAGGCCGGCGCCGCGGCTCACTAGGCTAATCCTCCGCCTTGAGGCGCCGGCACACCGGGTTCTAGTCCCGGGCGGTCAGGGCACCAGATTCTGTCCCAGTTGCCCCTCTTCTAGGCCAGCTCTCTGCTGTGGCCAGGGAGTGCAGTGGAGGATGGCCCAAGTGCTTGGGCCCTGCACCCCATGGGAAACCAGGAGAAGCACCTGGCTCCTGGCTTCAGATCAGTGCGGTGCGCCGGCCACAGCACGCCGGCCGCAGCGCGCTGGCCGCGGTGGCCATTGGAGGGTGAACCAACGGCAAAGGAAGACCTTTCTCTCTGTCTCTCTTTCTCACTGTCCACTCTGCCTGTCAAAACAAAACAAAACAAAACAAAACAAAACACCATGAAAACCATGAGCGCACATTTAAAGAAAGAGTTTCAAACTGATTTATTATCTAATTACAATATGCAGTAATTCTATGTAGTTTTTAAAAGCAAGCTACTTAACAGATGAGTAGTAAACCAATGACAAAAACCAATGAGTAAGATGGCACAAGTCTCATGCATTAAGACAGACTGAAATTTAGAATATCTCAGACAATGTTCTCAGATTTAGTTAAGTACTTCTCAGTACAGATACCAATAAAGAAACACACCCCAAGGAAATATATTTTTTAATATATAACAATTAATTGACAAGGAATATCATTTACCCTTTGGTATCTGTTTTTTCACCACTGCTATCCTTGGATTTATCTTCTTCCTTAACATCTAGAAACAAAGATTAGGAAAAGATCAAAATCTATTTTGAAATATAATTCAGTATATAAGTTTTATTTCAGGTATTATACTAAATGGTAGATGTTTAAGCTTTAACCTAACAGTCACTGCCCTTTTTGAGCCTTATCACAGCCAGGATAGGGACTTCAAAGGAAAATGCAGCACTGTGGCAGGTGAGGAACGGCTACCACAGAAGTGACATCTGAAGCTGTCCTGATGAATGTAGTTTTGGTAGATAAAAAGGGAAGGGAAACATCTTGAATAGACGAAGAAAAAAACTCCAAAGTTTTAAGGACTCTGAGCTAAGAAGAAATTGGCAGGATGGAAGGAGAAACCCTACTGCGGCTAGAGCACTATGAGAAATGGAGAGTAGATGACACAACCAGAGGCTGCTGCCACCTTTAGTTTTGTTCTTTTCTTCTTTTTTAAGATTTACTTATTTATGTATTTGAAAGGCATAGAGAGAGGCAGAGATATCTTCCACCTGTTGCTAGTTTGCTCCCCAAATTCCCACAACAGCTAGGGATGGGCCAGGCCATAGACAGGTATCAGGAACTCTCTCATGTGGGTGGCAGGGATCATCACCTGACAGTCATCTGCTGTCATCCTATGCAACTCGGCAGGAAGCTAGAATAAGCAACAGCAGTCAGAAGTCAAATCTGGCACTCAGACACAGGATGCAGGCATCCCCAGCAGCAGCTTAACCCACTGCGACAGTGTCTGCCTCATACCTTTATTTTCTAACCCTCACTAAATAAATACTGAAAAGTTTAAAACTTTTCAACAGAAGTTAACACTACAATCTGAAGACTGCAAAAGCAATTTTTTTAAAGTTTTTAAATATTCTTAAGTATTCTACACATTGCAAGAGTCTAGTCCTATAATATGAACACCCATGTTGACAATATGGATTTTATGGCATTTGTTGTTTAATTTTGGCTATGTGAACTCAAAGTGCCAAAACAGGATGGGAGAGGGAAACATGAAAAAGAAATGGCTCTATGGCCTCGACCCATAGTTTTTTCCTAAAAGTTTTCTTTTTTCTATAGGCTGAGAAATTTTAAGAATCACGAAGCCTGATGACCAAAGAACAGAATTAGAAGTATCAGCTTTGATATGGATTCCTAACACTAGAGAAGAGAAAGAGCCAGTTTACTGGACTACTACTATCTCTGCTTTCATATCAAAACAGGTCAACTAAGATTTTTGCTCATCACTGTTACTTGCATAAAGAAACATACCAAGTGCTGAAAACAGGTATTTAAGATGCTGTATTCCCTAGCCAGCTGGCATGGAGACATATAAATACAGACAAACGATCACAGATTCTGGTGGCAAATTCAATTGCCTAGAGCTGACAATCTTCAAAGATAGAAAGGTAATAGAAAGCAGTATATTTTTAATCTTTTCTGAGAGCTTTGTGTTTTCCTCAATTTCTGAACAAAGTCTATTATCTGGCCTTATTAAAAATGATAAAACTAGTATTAAGTAAAGGTTGATTTCATCTACATAAACTTTAGGTAGTTAAAAATTATCTTAGAATTTCAGCTCTCTCGTAGACTACAGATTTATAACTTACCCTCTCTCTTAACTCTAACTATTTAAGCCTTTATCATCAAGAGAATAAGGTTTCCTATATTATAAAATCAAATGTAAGTAGGAACTTGCAAAGATTTCAATCAAAGATATTTAAAAGCCAAACTTTATATGGAGGAAAAAATAGCATTTACCTAGCATACTCACCTCTCTGTAATACTTACAGTAGATGACTTCAGGAAATTTTTATATTTCAATGTAGCTCTCAATTAAAAAATTTTTAAAATCAGAACACATTCACCAAAAAATTAAATCTGACCTGCTTTTTTGTCCTCTGTTTCTTTCTTGTCTTCTTCAATTCTTGCTTTCTTTGCTCCTTTTTTATGATCAGATACATTCCTACGACCTCCTTCTCCTTCATCTTCAGAATCTGAGAATTCTTCATCACAAGCTATCCGCTTGTCTGATGCTCGAACTGTTAACGTAAGATTTTAACAAGCTTTGAGGAAAAATCACAAGCTTTAAAATCATTACAGCACACTCATGCAAATGTACTCATCAGTTACCACATTTCAAAGTATAGGATAACAGATGCTTAATAATTTTAAGATTGGAACAAAATGAATGGTTTGCTCTATTACCGAAAACTTAGCTGTGGTTTATAAAACAGTTAAAGAGACATTTGGGGATCTTTTGATTTTCTAAAAGGTAAAAGTTTGGAGGAAAAAAGTATGCTTCTCTTAGAGCAAGTGGGAATAACATCTTTATACCTAAAAGGTGGCCTTTTACTTCAGGGTTCTGAGGAAAAGGAGACAAAATAAAAAATAGTACCATTAATGTGAAATACAATCTCTGTACCATTATGATATAAATCTATAATCATATTAAGTGTAATCAAAGACTATAAAATCAAACAGCAAGTGCTTACTATTTTACACATTCTAATTTGAGCAAATGGCATGTTTTCCCAATTTATTCCTGAATATACATAAGTGGATAGTTTTTGGAAATTTTATATCTTACATGTATAGTCATTTAAACTGAAATTGTACACGCAAATTAGACTATGAAGCACCACAAAGACAAATATGCATAAGATTAAAAATGGAAAAAGCAGGGGCCGGCACTGTGGCGCAGAGGGTTAACGCCCTGGACTGAAGCACCAGCATCCCATATGGGTGCTGGTTCTAGTCCCGGCTGCTCCACTTCCGATCCAGCTCTCTGCTATGGCCTGGGAACGCAGTGGAAAATGGCCCAAGTCCTTGGGCCCCTGCACCCACGTGGGAGACCCAGAAGAAGCTCCTGGTTCCTAGCTTCAGATCAGTTCCGGCCGTTGCGGCCAATTGGGGAGTGAACCATCGGATGGAAGACCTCTCTCTCTCTTTCTCTGCCTCTCCTCTCTCTGTGTAACTCTGACTTTCAAATGAATAAATAAATCTCTAAAAAAACAAAAACAAAAACAAAAAAAAAAAAGGAAAAAGCACTCTTTAAACATTACCCATAGTGAAATTTTGGGGCCATTAAAACTTGTAAGTTGAAGTGTTTATTTTAATAAACCAGCAAAATCTAACAGAATACAAATAAAGGCATTAACTTACTAGAAATTCTCTTGTCTGGATCCTCTCCATCTTCATCTCCACTATCTTCATGGACAGCATCTTCAGGAATAGCTTGCATCTGGACACCAGGTGCATGAGGTAACATACGCAAATTTTCAAATAAACGCTGTCTAAATTATACAAGCAAAGTTATTAGACAAAATTCAATTTCACTGAAGTTCCTCTTATATGAAAAATGAAATATCAAGCAAAAATTCTCATATTTTATCTAGTTAACCTATGAATTAAAATAATACTTACTGAGTCCTGATAATTTACATACATTCACTGCATCTTTACAATTTAAAAGGTCAATACTATCATATTCCCCATCTCAATGATGAGGAATCCTAAGCACAGAGTCAGATAACCTTGTCAAATGCCATACAGCATTTGAAGGTACTTCAAAACACTGGTAAAATGGGATCGAGAGAGAAATTTATTCTGGTATAAATTTTTTTGAAATCTGTACGTAATTTTCATGATCTTTTTTGGGAAGACTCTCGCCATGCATGGATTTCAAAATTTTTTAGACTAAATAAATTTGTCTTTTAATTTCATTTGCCATGAACGTTCTGCAACATCCTCAATATCTCTGTATAAAGCTTGAATCTATTTTCTTTAAACCCCTAATGAAACCCTCCCTAAGGCACTATGAAGATGAGCTAAAACAAGTCAGTGATTTCTTACTTTATCTTTTCCATGTACTCTGGAGTGTTCTGGTTTGTCATGTTTGAAGGGCTAATATGCAGTTTGAAGTCTGGTCCAAAATACTCAAAGTAATCATTATATGGCAACTCTATCAAAAACAATGAGATAAACGTGCATATTAAAACCTTAGTACCCACAGAAATCCATGCACAAAATCAAATAAGATATTTCCAAAGAAAAGCTTCAAAACTAAGTCTGAAGTGATGATCTCTACAGCTGCAGAATGTTCTTAATCATTCACCCCCCATTTCGGTATGTTGACAGTCCATACAATCCAGCTAACAGAAGAACACTTACCATTGGGTATCTCACAGTCCAGAGCAACTGCAGTCTCATATGTCCAGCATCGAGCGACATTACGGATTGTGTAACCACCTCCCCCAAGCATCAGTAACGGCAAATTAAAAGTTTTTACAACTTCCACACATTTAGCATGACCTATGACAAAGAAGATTTGGGTAACAGAAAATATACATATTGTATCAGCTTGAAAAGTAAAATTCAAATGTTTACTCTAACAAAATAGGTTTCCTAAATATTTTAAAAACAAAGAATAAAAACCCAAGAAATTTTTAGTCTAAAACTTTTCATCTGTTATGTCATATTCTAGTAAACATCTGATAAAAAAGCCAAACATGTAACTATTAAGATTAAAATATAAATACAGGAAGATGTTCATGCGAGGTTACATTGGAGAAAAAAAATCAGGTTACAAGGAAACACTATATACAACCCCCAATTTTTTTTTTTTTTTTTACCATTTTCCCCAATCAGCATATGTAGAACAATTATAGAAGACTACACAACAAAGTTTAAGGCTAGGTTATCTTTGGGTAATTGTATTCTGGATAATTTTCTTAACTTTTCTAAGATTATAAACCTAGCATAAAACCACATACTTCCTCTGGATAAATTTCACAGCTCAGTAATCATTTATAAATTACCAGTAACTTCCTGGACTACTTATACACATAATATAATCTTTAAAGAAAGAAAAACTCCCTCAATTATAAAAGAAATTCATGTATGTCCAAGAATATCTGAACAACAAAAAAATCGAAGTACCAAGAAAAAACTACCCCAAACCAATTAATATTCATTTCCAATTCTGAGTTAATTTTATAAAGATCAATTATCTCTTCTCTTCATGTATTTGTATTCTTGCAAGCATTTTCATTATCAGTAATGACAGTATATGACTCACAACCCAATTGTTATTACTGCTACTAAATATGCATTTCTTTTTTTTTTTCTGACAGGCAGTTAGACAGTGAGGGAGAGTGAGAGACAGACAGAGAGAAAGGTCTTCCTTTTTCCGTTGGTTCACCCCCAAAAGTAGCTGCTACGGCCGGCGCACTGCGCCGATCCGAAGCCAGGAGCCAGGTGCTTCCTCCTGGTCTCCCATGGGGTACAGGGCCCAAGGACCTGGGCCATCCTCCACTGCACACCCAGGCCACAGCAGAGAGCTGGACTGGAAGAGGAGCAACCGGGACAGATTCTGGTGCCCCAACTGGGACTAGAACCTGCGATGCCGGTGCCGCAGGCGTAGGATTAGCCTAGTGAGCCACGGCGCCAGCCTTGCATTTCTTATAATAGACAAAAGCCACATAAGTATTCTTTAAGACAAAGTAAAATATAAAAAAATTAACTTGCATATTTCCAAGTAAGTTGCTGACATACAAACACAATCCTCAAACCTAACAAAAGTAAGGAGATTTCTGAAAGGCTAAAATCGATAAAAATGAAGAATGGAAGAGAACACAACATCATGAACATAACTGAAGATACAAAGGAAATGGATAAGAGGTAGCTAACGTTAGCAGACTTGAAAAATCCAAATAGAAGCTAGCAGTAGAGAAACTCAGAACTCAAGTTCACTAAGCAAATTGTAACCACCCTTATATGCTTTTTATAACTGAAATTCTATCAATGGGTAGAAATATAATGTAGATTTATTAAGAGTAAAATAACTGCAGTTTGTGATTATAAAAGCTATTACTTTTTAAATACAAAAATACTAAGGATTTTCAGAGTTAAACTGGAAAACTAGTAATTTACACATACTTTAATAAGAGTTTCTTATTTATAACATGTTAGGAAACACTTATCTATTTTGAGGCAACAGATTCAACTTAATGTGTTCAACAACATGAAACTGCTTTTTGACTACTGTTGACCTACCAAGGAAAGGAATGGTTCAGCCTAATACAAAGCAGAAGAGATCATAATTCTAATGCTGGCTGGTTTAGTAGCAATCATAAAAGTTTTTTTTAAATTTATTTGAAAGGCAGAAAGATAGATAAGACAGAGATCTTCCTCACACTGGTTCACTCCTCCAATGCCCATAAAAACCAGGGCTGGGCCAGACGGAAGCCAGGAGCCTGGAGTCAATCCAGGTATCCCACATGGGTAGCAGGAACCCAACTACTTGAGCTATCTATTCATTGTCATCGGCTGCCTCGAAGAATACACATTAACAGGAAGCTGGAATTAAAAGATGATCTGGGGCCAGCGCCGTGGCTCACTTGGCTAATCCTCCGCCTGCGGCGCCGGCATCCCATGTTCTAGTCTGTCTCGGTTGCTCCTCTTCCATTCCAGCTCTCTGCTGTGGCCCGGGAAGGCAGTAGAGGATGGCCCAAGTCCTTGGGCCCTGCACCCGCATAGGAGACCAGGAGGGAGCACCTGGCTCCTGGCTTCGGAATAGCACAACGCGCTGGCCGTAGCGGCCATTTGGGAGGTGAACCAATGTTTCACTGTAAAACAGTTTTTAGTTCTATGTGAGAATTCTTCACATCTTATGAGATAATTCAAAGCAGAACATCAACCTACTACCTAAAAGTTCACACGGAAAAAACTCTAAAATCATAAAAATTATCCATGATAAATCACTTCTGATCCACATATGAATTTTAATAATCTATTAAATAAAATTTCAGATTTATTATTATGTCCTAAAATTTCATTCCAGAATGGTGATAAGCTCTGGCGCAGACTTCTATGACATGTTGATTTCAACTCCTGATCAAAATATCAGAATTTGGTGCAATATTCCTAAATCTTCCACATCTTTTCTCAGGAAGCTACTGAGAATGAGCTCCACTAGAATGTGAGAAAAAAATTAAGTGGAAGACAGAGGACACAGCTGTCAGAGGGATGTAACACACCAGAAAAGCAAAAAAGATGTCATTACATGTCTATAAGATACTCAGATCAACCAGGCACAGGTTAGAAGGCTGTTCTTCAAGAAGGTAATTCTGGGACCGGCACTGTGGCACAGCATGTAAAGCTACTGCCTACAATGGCAGCATTCCATATGGGAGCTGGTTCATGTCTCAGTTGCTCCACTTCCCATCCAGCTCCCTACTAATGTCCTGGGAAAAACAGTGGAAGATGGCCCCAGAACTTGGGCCCTTCTACCTATATGGGAAACCTGGAAAGAGCTCCTGGTTTTGACTTGGCCCAGCCCTAGCCATTACAGCCATTTTATTTTAAGTGGAAATTAAGAATCCAATTAAGTAACAAAGTAGGTCATATTATGTGGAGAAAGGTAAACACCAAAGAACCAATAAGAATACTGAAAATAGCTGTCTCAATGGAGACTACAACAAGCCTCATAAAACTACTCATGTATAAACATATACAGAAATTTGACTACATACAAAAGACCTAATTTATTGGAACAAGATTAACTGCTGACACACATAAACACATTTAAAAGACAAACAGTCATTAAAACACAAAGCACAAAGCTCAGTGTTAATGCACAGGCAAAAAAACTACACTGAAAACTTTTATGGAAGTTCCTGAGAAGCAAAGCCATTCTCCTGGAAATACCTCTGGAACAATTGCTCACCTTTGACTGTTAGATTGAAGCAACCAAGTCTATCACCAGATAATGAGTCTGCACCACACTGCAGCACCACAGCACTAGGCTGATACATCTCCATCACTTTTGAGATAATCTACATAAGATAACAAATGTTAACATCTCTAATAACATTTTAAAAAATCCATTTTAAATTTGAAAATACTACTTACAGGCTTAAATATCTGCCCATAAGACTCATCATCTATACCATCTCTCATTGGAAAATTGACAGCATAGTATTTGCCTTTTCCAGCACCAATATCCTGAAATACACAAACAGAAAATATTTTACAAGAAAGAGATTTATTTACCATAGTATTTTTAAGGTTAAAATTATGCAGTGCATTCATGGTACTCCATATAGAGGTACATTTTTTTTGCCAGTTAAAATTTCTTTAAAAAGTCCAAGTAACGAGATCCAACTCTGAGTTCATCCTAGAGGTTGAAATAAGAACTATAGAGGCTGGCGCCGGCACACCGGGTTCTAGTCCCGGTCGGGGCACCGGATTCTGTCCCGGTTGCCCCTCTTCCAGGCCAGGTAGGGCAGTGGAGGATGGCCCGAGTACTTGGGCCCTGCACCCCATGGGAGACCAGAAGTACCTGGCTCCTGCCATCGGATCAGCACGGTGCGCCGGCCGCAGCGCGCTGGCCACGGCGGCCATTGGAGGGTGAACCAACGGCAAAAGAAAGACCTTTCTCTCTGTCTCTCTCTCTCACTGTCCACTCTGCCTGTCCAAACATAATATATATTAAAAATATGAGAACAAAAGAAACCAAAAAAGAAAACAATAAATACACAAGTGTATTGTTCCAATGTTTACACATTGATTATTTCTGGAAGAAAATAAGCTTAACTCAAGAAATTCATCACAAATCAAATATATGAGAGAGGCAAATTTAAAAGTAAATCTGTGGACAATACATATTTTGAGCCAAAGAAGCTTGCAGGACAACAGATTCCTTTTTGTTGTTTATAATCTGGTATGAGTTACTTATGACTTCCTTAAAGTTTTAACAGTTGTGAACTACTCTAAATAAAGTAAGTTTTAACAATGAGCTAATTTCAGGTTGCATTCTTATCTGCTTTAGAATGGATTAGGCAGAAAACAACGTTTATTAACAACCAAAAATAGATGTTTCATTTAAAAGTCCAAATATGGTTACATACAATGATTACTTTTCTCAAGAAATCTGGGGGCGGTGGGAAGGGTGAGCAGCAGTGTGGTGTAGAAGGTTAAGCCTCTGTCTGCAGTGCTGGCATACTACATCAGTGCCAAATTTGAGTCCCAGCTGCTCCACTTCCAATACAGCTCCCTGCTAATATGCATGGGAAAGAAGCGGAAGATGGCCCAAGTGCTTGAACCCCTGCAACTGCGTGGGAGTCACAGAAAAAGCTCCTGACTCCTGGCTCAGTCTGGCCCAGTGCTGGCCATTGTGGCCATCTGGGGAATGAGGCAGTGGATGGAAGTACACGTTCTCTATTCCTGCCTTTCAAAATAAATAAATCTTAAAAAAATTCTGGGAACACATTTAAAATATACAAATATTAATCTTGGAATGATATTTCATACAAGTATAAAGTCTCAAGTAAAGAAAAGATGTTGTTGGCCATTCTCAATCCTTATAAAACAGCATTCGCCAGTACTTCTCCATAATTTCAAGCAACCATTAAGATAAATGCACAGTAATTAAGAGGCCATAGTGACATCTACTGCTGTTGGAAGTTGAGAGGTCTCCACTTGCCTCTTTGTACACCGATTAGGATTACTATGCAAAAAACACTAATTTATTTTTTAAAGCTTCATTAAAGCCGAGAAGTATCTTGTTCTATTTCTATGGGATGTAACACCCATAAACAAATGAACTCCAATGGTTTTGGGCACTAGTTCTCAAACTTCTGTGGGTAAAATAAGGGTTTCTGGGATCTGAGAATATATCTGAGAATATTTAACAACTTCCCTGTATCACTGGTCTTGCTAGTTTAGGGATCACTCTTTGCAAATTATTAGTTTATAAGACAGAACCACATGGTTTAAGGGAAAAGTTGAATAAGCTAATTGGCAAGGAACTGAAATTATAAACCCATAATTTTAAAAGTTAAATGATTTAGACTCAATCTAAATACCTGACCTCCTTCTATCTATTAGGCAAGCTTTTACTATCCTCTCTTACACAAGAGTTTACTGAAAGAGTACCACCTTGTGGTCAAGCAAAGAAAAGCCACACATCTGAAGAAGAAAGGTACTCTTTCTAAAACTTTGGTTGCCAAACTGTATGACAGACCTCAAGCTTATAAAATTTTAACTAACAGTTTAGAACTAATGTTGAATGTCATTTTAGGAGGAATACCTCAATCCAGGCTGAACTAAAAACAGCTGCTTATATTTCTCAATAAACTTCAATATTGTATGCAGTCTGGTTAAAAACATAAAAAAAACTCCAGTGAAGAACAACTGCGGGCAGTGTATAGAAGGATTTGGCAGTGCTTTTCACATTTATAAAACACAAGAGCACCAAATGGAAAAAGGTAACAGAAAGAGAAACAGAAATAAATGCACAGAATGTAACAGGCAGGCAAGTGCTAAATGTTGGTATTTTTTTCTCTCCCCAAATGGCATACACTACAAATTTCAGAAGGCTAAGGAAAAGAGATTAAAATTAGAGGTACTGAATCAAAACCAATCACAAAGGAAAGCGCAAGAATCTAAAAGCACCCAGTCTATTTTATTCCAACAACTTTTACAATCAAAAGCAATGTATGCTACTACTAGGTAGTTTTGAAGATTCAAATTGAATACTAAGGGCTTCATGTGCCATGGATGTTCAATAATATTTACTCAAATAAAATAGCTGAGCAAAAGAAAAGTCCTTTAAGTTTTTGTTAATATTTTTTGGGGGATAAAGATTTATTTATTTATTTGAAAAGGCAGAGCTTAGAGAAAGAGAGACAGAGACAGAGATCTCCTATTTGCTGGTTCACTCCCCAGATGGCTGCAAAAGCAAGAGCTGGGCTGGCCTGAAGCCAGGAACCAGGAGCTTCTACTGCGTCTCCCACATGGGTACAGGGTTCCATGTACATGGGCCATCCACCACTGCTTTCTCTGGCCATTAGCAGGTAGCTGGATCAGAAGTGGAGTAGCTGGGACAAAAACTGATGCCCACATGGCATGCTGGCAGTGCAGTCAGCAGCTTTACCTGCTATGCCACAAAGTCCGCCCCTTTTTAAAATTTTTTATTACAGTCAGCAAAGTCAATTCTAGCAGATGGTAGAGTATACAAAGTGATTTAATTCTGCATGCATGCTTCAAATTAATGATTCAGGAAAAATACTGGTTCAAATACAGGTTATATCTTACATTTATTCAAGCAGAATTTGCTCTTACCCTCAAGTCTCCGGTGCCAGGAAAATATTCCCCATATTTATGGAATGATACAGTCATTACACGATCTGTGGTATAAAAAGCTTCTTCAACACCATCCCCATGATGAATATCTATATCAATATATAAGACTCTCTGATGATACCTGAAAATAAAACCGTAAGTTTGTTTTTTAAGGTTCTAAGTTGAGAACAATCATCATGAATTCTGGAAACTTATTTTTGGGTTCTTACATTCCAGAATGTTTCATTTCTTTCTTATTTTATATCTACCCTAAGAGACTCCCTGAGAGTTTGAACCTTAAACGTTGAAATTCCCTCTTAGAACCCATGGAATATGTCCTATTTTATATGTTTTAAATGCATAAGCACATTTTTATATATTAACTGAAGACCACACCTTACTCAATGCTGTTAATTTAATTTTAAAATCTCTTTAGTAAATCCCTAGTACTATTAAACAGAGGTTGGCAAATAGCCCGCAGTCCAAATTTGGCCAACTGCCATTTGAGCTAAGAATAGTTTCTACATATTTATTTTTTAAAGGAACGATTCAGAGAACAGCTGTTGTGGCACAGCAGGTTAACCCACTGCAGGTGTCATCAGCATCCCATGTGGGTGCGGGATCAAATCCCAGCTGCTCCACTTACAAACCAGCTCCCTGCTAATGGCCTAGGAAAGCAGCAGAAGATGGCCCAAGTGCTTGGGCCCCTGTACCCACGTAGGAGACCAGGAAGAAATTCATGGCTCCTGGATTCAGGCTGGCCCAACCTCGGTCATCATGGTCATCTGGGGAGTGAGTCAGCAGATGGAAGATCTCTGTCTCTCCCCCTCTTTCTGTGTAACTCTTTTAAATAGATAGATAGATAGATAGATAGATAGATAGATAGATAAAGGCAGAGAGAGGCAGACAAATAGACACATCCACGGGTTTACTCCCCAAGTGCTTCTAATAGCCAGGGTTAAGCCAGGCCACAGAGTCAGGAGCCCAGAACTCCATCTGGGTCTTCCAAGTCTGTAGAAGTGTCCAAGCACTTAAGCCATCATCTGCTATCTCCCAGCACATATTAGCAGGAAGCTGTATCAAATTTTTCAAATAGTGAAAGAAAAAAAAATCAAAACAAGAGTATTTTGTGCCATGACAATTACTTGAAGCTCAACTTTTAATTTTTGTAAAAAAAAAAAAAAAAAGAAAAAAAAAGATACCAGTAAAACATAATCATGCTCATTTCTTTACTAATACCTATAGCTTCTTTTACCCTATAACTGAATAGCAGTGACAACAGACCACATGTGGTACTCTCTCACATAAGTTCATACTGGTGCTTATAGCACTACAAATCCCAGTAAAGTAGTTATGCCATGAATGCACTTTAGGAGCCACCTGTATCACCATATTTTATTACCCATGCACACTCATGTCAAAACCACAAAAAGGAAGAGGTGTGCTTCAAATGTTATCCTTTTAAAGTACAGTGAAGTGAGAAGTATTGATGGCAATGTACCCTGTTTATTAGGCAGCATTTCAAAGCTGTGCTAAACTCATACAGTATAAGCTACCATTACCAGACTAACTATTCAAAGTAGTATTCTCAATTCACAGAAGCAACATTCAGAAGTAGAAAATTTACAACAGTGTATCTCACTGTAGCAGAATTTCTTCATCCAATTAAAAAAAAAAAAAGGCTGTTGATTAAAGTTTGAATTGCTCATGTGAGATAAATAAGCCTCTTCATCAAATCAATTAAATTATGTTTATAACCAAACAACTGTGTCTAGATATATTAACTTGGGTTAAGACCTTGTTTCAAAGTTTTGAAGACACTGGATCCAATATCAACAGGCAGTTAAAAAAACACACCAAATGCTTTCAAATGATTTTCCTTGGTTCTCAGTAAGTTAACACAATGTTACATTGACACCACTCAGTTATTATTCATTTGAAGAGTTAATACCGTTTCAAGTTACTGAAAAATTAGCTTCTATGGATATAAGTGTGGAGTAACTACAAGGAAGAGTGTCTTCAAAATTGAGAAAACACTAATTTGGTACAAACTGAAGTATAATCTACTAAGATATCACAACTGATGATGCTAACAAATATCTAACTTCGTAAATCTCCAAAATCCTAAGTGCCTTTAGAGTTTGAAGGAGAGTTCAAACAGTGAAGGATAACACCTAAACACAACACAGCAACTTAGGCATAATTTTATATCCATTAGTAAAGAACAAGAGCCCCATACAGATAAGAAAGGTACACAGTTACCTAGGATCAATAAGTAAACAAATTTCCTTCAACACAGGTTTCCAATTTTTGTCTTCAAGTAAAAACTTGCTAAACATTTAGAACATAAACTTACAAGGTTTCATCATTTTTCTTTAGTTGAAACCAAAACTCAAATCTAAATTGAAAACTTCTAATATTTTGTGTGTGTGTATATACACACACACACACATATATATATATTTTAAGATTTATTTATTTGAAAAAGTTATAGAGAAAGAGACCAATCTTCCAATGGTTCATTGCCCAAGTGGCCATAACACCAAGAGCTGAGCCAGGCCAAAGCCAGGAGCCAGGAGCTTTATCCAGGTCTCCCAGGAGGCTGGCAGGGACCCTTGCACTTGGGTCATCTTCCACAGGTCACTAGCAGGGAGCTGAATCAGAAGTGGAGCAACTGAGACACAATGTGGGATGGCAGCAGCTTTACCTGCTACATCACATCAGTGAATACACACACACACACACACACACACACACACACTTACACAGATTTATTTACTGGAAAGGCAGAATTAAAGACAGAAAGGCAGACACACACACACAGAAAGAGAGAGAACTTTTGTCTGCTGGTTCACTCCCCAAAAGGCCACTACTGCCAGAAAGGTGGGCCAGGACAAAGCCTGAACTCCATCTGGGTCTCCCACATGGGTGGCAGGGTCCCAAGGACGTGGGCCATGTTCTGCTACTTTCCTAGGTACATTAGCAGGCAGCCAGACTGGAAGTGGAACAGCCAGGACTGGAACTGGTACCCATAAGCAACGCTGGCATAACAGGCAATGGCTTAACCTGCTACACCCAAAAGCCAGCTCCTGCTATTTTTAAAAGGTGTTTTTAGATATTTATAAACATATATTCACTCTTAATAACACAAGGATTGGCAAATTTTCTCTATTTCTATATTGACTTATAAAGAATTCAATATAACACTAGAACTATTTCAGCCTACCATTTACTTGATATTAAAAATGCCATGGATTATTTAAATAAAAACATTATGTCATAGGAAAAGTATAAACACAAATTAACTTACTTTAGCAATTCAAGGATAGCAAGCACAATATCATTAACATAACAGAATCCTGATGCTTCTGATTTTTTAGCATGATGTAATCCTCCAGCCCAGTTAACAGCCATATCAGTTTGCTGCCGGTTTAACTTCACAGCTCCAGCTAACAGAAAGAGAAATATAATAGACTTTCAGAATATTTAAAATAAAAAATTAGTATGACTGGGAAAAATGCTATAGGTCAGAGTATACCATAGGTAAGCAAAAGAGTTTAAAATTATAAAAGGTAAGGATCACTATCTAGGGCAGTAATAGTTTCTTCTTTAGATATTTTCCTATAGTTGTGAACTGATTAAACAATGGTATATGTATGGAAAGAGAACTAACAATGGTAACCAGAAACAAACAGAACAATCATCTCTCAGTGAAAATGCTATTGAAAAGATAAATTAAATATACACACACAAATGCAACTCATTATATAAAACATGGTAGACACTTGTACTTTACTATAAACACAATGATTTCTTTTGATTATCACCATTAAAACTTCTGCTTTAAACAAATAACCCAAGATACCAAGCTCAGCTCAACTTTTAAATCTGATTGAATCAGGGCACTTACCAACTGAGCCACCAGTTGAGAGCTGACAAAACTCAAACAGTCCATCAAACACCGGACAATCTTCTCCAACATTAACTGTGGAAGATGTATTTCATTAATTTCAACCCATTCTACAAATAAAACTTTTTCTCACAAAAACTATCTCCTACAAATTCTTTTTTGATACAATCATAAGACATTTCACACTAGTCATCTAAAGCTTCTAACTTTAATTTATTCTTTTAGTCAAAGTAATTGAGGTGTTCCCTATGAAACGTCAACATCCTTGCTACATTAGTTGTCAAGTACAAAAGGTACCTTGTCTTTAGTTGAAAAGGGTATTTCTCTCCCTAAATATACAACAATAAATTAATGAAGATTCTAAAAATTGATGATTTACTTTTAAAAAAGTATCTAGATGGGGCTGGCGCTGTGGCGTAAAGGGTAGGGCTGCTGCCTGTGGTGCCGGCATCCCATATGGGCACCAGTTCAAGACCTGGCTGCTCCACTTCCAATCCAGCTCTCTGCTATGGCCTGGGAAAGCAGTGGAAGATGGCCCAAGTCCTTGGTACAACTCCATATTATGTAGGTTTTAAATTCTTTTAATTCACTTGCCCAAGAACTACCCAGGACTCCTTCTACTCTGAATCACCAATGGAAAAAAACATGGATAAATACCTGTCTCAATATATTACAGCATTTTATTGAATCAAATGAGACATTTGTGTATGTACTGAAGATTTGTGAGATGTCTAATAAGTACACTTAATTTACTATTACAATCACCAGCAATAAACACTGCAGAGAATGAACTCTAATAAAAAGCTTTAAAAAAATACACTGTTCCAATCATTTGAGGATGACATTTTACATTCTACCTTTAATCCAGTTACAACATTTAATAGCATACTTTACACTATAAAAGAGAACACTATGCAGAGAATCAAAAGCTTCACTAATACGAACAAGAAAAACAGAGTATGAATATTATAGTCCAGATTAACTAAAGCACACAAACAGAAGAAAAGTATTATATACAAGGTCAGGGATAATTAAGACTTAAGAATAATCTCTGTTTTGAAACAAGAGTGAGGTCTCCCTACCAATATCAATTATCCTGTAGTCACTACAGGAAGAAAACAGAGTTGAAGATTACCCAAACAGCAGTTTTGCAATCCAATAAGCTTCAGGAAGGTTCATAATCTTATTTGGATAACTATAAGCTTCAAAAAATTTACACATATCAATACTAAAATATACTTTAAAAATAGAAACGTACATCTCTGCATCTGCTTACTATACTCAGACATGTTATCTGGTCTTATTGACCGTAGAAACTTGATATACTCATCACTATGGTATTTTGTCATTTCTTCAGCAGTGGCTTTATGGGGCCTCTGTAAGGAAAAGTAAACATCATAATTGTACAAGTACAACTGGTTGCATCAGAACTATTAAATAAAATGAAATACGTAATTTTCTCTCAACTTAGGTTGCCAGAACAAATTTTAAAAAGTAATCCAAATTTATAAACATGTTTTAGGAAAACAGTTAATCAGTTCTAAAGCTGGCTCAAACTTCCTTAAAAGCATCAGAAAGGGCTGGCACTGTGGCACAGTGGGTTAAAACCCTGGCCTGCAGTCCTGGCTGCTCCATTTCCAATCCAGTTTCCCACTAATGTGCCTGGGAAAGCAGTGGAAGATGGTCCAAGTAGTTGAGGCTCTGCACCCATTTGAGAGATCCAGAAGAAGCTCTTTACTCCTGGCTTCAGATCAGCTCAGCTCCAGCCTTTGTGGCCATTCGGGGAGTGAACCAGCAGACAGAAGACCTCTCTATCTCTCTACCTCTCTCTGTAACTCTTTCAAATAAATAAAATAAGTCTTTAAAAAAAAAAAGCATCAGACAGGTATAACACCCATGAATTAATCATTCTTTACATTTTATTGAGAATATGCCAACCCATTAAAGACAAACATGTTTGTAAGCACGATTTATATACCACCACTTCATCAATGGCCTTCCAGAAAAACATTCTCCAAGTCTGCTCACGATCTCTTCCTTTCAGTAGACTGTTCTAATCTTCCTTGTCCTGATGAGCTCAATTTCACTTCTAACCTACTATCTTAAAAGGCTTCGACAGACAGACTCTTAAGCAACTGCCTCTCTTTTCTAAATGTCTATACTTACACATATTCTCTGACAGTGTTAATGGTTTCAAGTCTTTATTTTCTCCCCAAATAGGTAGGAATTGTTGTGTCTTGAATTTGTTTATCTATGCCTGTTTGTACCTGAAAAATACTTAAGGCAGTTGTTTTATCTTGTTTTCACTCTGCTTGACCACTAACAGAGTTCCATATATATCCTGTCCAATAAATGCTTATAGAATTATTTTTCTTTCATAATAGTCCCAGGCAAACCCTTTACAGCAGCATAGTAGGTCAACAATTATTGTGACAAAAATATGTAACATGCTAGACTGAGGGGGGAGTGCTTTTAAAATGGTTAAAGCAAAAGAAAAAAAGAAGCTATAGCTACCATACTAGATGTTCTATGAAGAGTAAAACAAAAAAGTTTGCTTCCAGTTTTCACCAGTTAAATGCTTTCCAAATGGAAGTTTCAAAGTAGTTATTAAAAAAAAAAATCAAAAGGTATACTCACATATATTTCCATTTTTCTGTATAAGCCATAATTTAACAGCAAGTTATGGGTCATGCGGATTCTGTGAGGTTTCATGGGATGACCCTGTCCATAATAATAATTTCCAATGTCACCTAAAATAGGAAGACATAAACTGAACAATACAGATAAAAGCATCCTTACAAGTATCTGAATTTATGTATGTCAAACGTTAGGAAACATTTACCATAAGTAAAATTTCATTAGATATCTAAAATGGTATTGGCTTTATTTTACAACTTGCAAACTATATTAGAAAACCAAGACACATGTACATCTTTACAAGCTGATGACTCCATTATTAGTTAACACTGTATTTGTAAACTAAAGAAAGCCAAGATTCTCTGATTTTTAGTTATATAAAGTGGTTTCTTTTTTTCAAATGTTTGTCCCTTAAAGTGATATTAATGTTCTCTAGCAAACTCAGATGATTCAGGGTAACCAGTATTATTTCAAATTTTTTCAGAAATATTGCTTTGTGGATGATTTATTAGCATCCCAGAAATCCTTCAAAGTTGGTATTCGGGGGTTTAAAATGTTCTATGTCCATATAATAGCCTATCAGGCAACTTTGGGTTACTAAATTTCAGGTTCTAAATAAAACTTTGTTCAGACATATTCATGATATTTTTCAAATAAGGATATTTTGTCTTGTTCTTCATGACTAAAGTTATAATTTCAAGCCTTTTTAGAAAAGTTTATTTATTGGAAAGTCAGAGTTAGAGAGAGGGAGACAGAGAACTTGGTCTTTCATCTGCTAGTTCAACTCCCCACATGGTTGCAATGGCCAGGGCTAAGCCAAGCCAAAGCTAGGAGCCTGGAACTCCATCCAGGTCTCCCACATGGGTGGCAGGGGACCAAACACTTGGGCCATCCTCCACTGCTTTCCCAGGCCATTAGCAGGGATTGGTATTAAAAGCAGAGCAGTCAGGACATGAATCAGCACCCTTGGTACCTTTATATCTGGGATGCTGGTGTTACAGTCAGTAGCTTTAACTGCTACGCCACAACAATGGCCCCAGAAGTTTTATTTATTTACTTGAAAGACAGAGTGACAGAGAGGGAGAGACAGAGAAATCTTTTATCTATTACTCACATCCCAAATACCTGCAACAGGTAAGGCTGGGCCAGGCGGAAGCCAGGCACTCTATCTGGGTCTCTCACCTGGATGGCAGGAACCCAATTACTTGGGCCATCATCTGCTGCCTCCTGGAATGCAACCAGCAGGAAGCTGGATCCGAAGCAGAGGTGGGACTGGATCCCATATACTCTTGATTTGGGACCTAGGTGTTCCAAGCAGTGGCCTCACCAACTGTACCAGAACACCCATACCCAGCATGTCTTTTTAAATAGCATCTTTATAATATCCTAATATGTAGATATTTATTTTTTATTTTTTAAAAGATTTTATTTGAAAAGTAGAGTTACAGGAAGAGTGAGACAGAAAGGTGTTCCATTGCTGGTTCAATCCCCAAATGGCCTCAACAGTTGGAGCTCGGCTGATCTGCAGCCAGGAACCAGGAGTCTCTTCCAGGTCTCCCATGTGGGTGCAGGAGCCCAGGGACTTGGGCCATCTTCTACTGCTATCCCAGGCCATAGCAGAGGGCTGAATCGAAAGCAACCAGGACATTAACTGACGCCCATATGGGATACTAGTGCCAAAGGCGGAGGCTTAGCCTACTACGTCACAACCCCAGCCCCACAAGGTGATATAGTTTTAAGTAAAGTTCCATTGTTTCTTATAATAAAAAGTTAACAATAAGAGTCTCAAACATATATTATACTACTTTTTTTGAGATTGAAAGAGATTTATTTGGGCCGGTGCTGTGGCGTAATCGGTAAAGCCACCACTCAGGGCCAGCATTCCATATGGGCACCAGTTCAAGTCCTGCTGCTCCACTTCCAATCCAGTTCTCTGCTATGGCCTGGGAAAGCAGTGGAAGATGGCCCAAGTCCTTGGGCCTCTGCACCCCCGTGGGAGATCCAGAAGCAGCTCCAGGCTTCAGATCAGCACAGCTAGGGCAATTGCGGCCAACTGGGGAGTGAACCAGTCAGTGGATGGAAGACCTCTCTCTCTCTTTGTAACTCTGACTTTCAAATAAATAAATAAATCTTTAAAAAAATAAACAAACAAAAATATTTATTAGACTCAAAGACATCCAGCCAGAGAGGCATGGAGGAGGGAGTACTACCTTTTTAATGGACGTTTTACAACAGAATTCATCAAATTGGAAATTAGTTTGAGTAACTACTCTCGTGCTTAAGTCAACAATTTCAAAAATTTTGTCACAATAGCCAAACTGATTTTACCGGCTTTAAGTTTCATTTCAAGATAAGTTTTCCTAATAAAAGCTATACCATTTAATTATTTTCAAAATCAACCATCTTTTAAAACACTGGACCAGTGTTGTGGCACAGTGGGTTAAGATGCCATCTGTAATGCCAGCATCTCATTCACATGGGCACTAGTTTGTGTCCCGGATGCTTCATTTTCTTTCTTTCTTTTCTTTCTTTTTTTTTTTTTATTTTTTTGACAGGCAGAGTGGACAGTGAGAGAGAGAGACAGAGAGAAAGGCTTTCCTTTTCCGTTGGTTCACCCCCCACTGGCTGCTGTGGCCGGCGCGCTGCGGCTGGCGCACCGCACTGATCCAAAGCCAGCAGCCAGGTGCTTCCTCCTGGTCTCCCATGCGGGTGTGGGGCCCAAGGACCTGGGCCATCCTCCACTGCCCTCCCGGGCCACAGCAGAGAGCTGGCCTGGAAGAGGGGCAACCAGGACAGAATCTGGTGCCCCGACTGGGACTAGAACCCAGGGTGCCAGCGCCACAGGCGGAGGATTAGCCTATTGAGCCACGGTGCCGGCCTCCAGCTGCTTCATTTTCCATACAGCTCCCAGCCTGGGAAAGCAGTAGAGGATGGCCCAAGTGTTTGAGCCCATGCCACTCACATGGGAGACCTGGAGGAAGAGTCTCCTAGCTCCTGGTTTTGGCCTGGCCCAGTCCTTCTCTCCCTCTCTCTCTGTCTCACCCTCTCTCTAATTCTGCCTTTCAAATAAATAAATAAATAAATCTGGGGTGGGTGAGGGGTGAGCCACGTATCCCATGTGCTTGGCTTCTTAAAAAATTTCTAAGTATACAGCTGTTTCGTTTAATAGAAACTGAGAACACAAAAAATTTTGTTCTTCCATATATTTGGTACAACATGAGTATTCACATTTATTAAAAAAACCATGCTTCTTGGGGCTGGCACTGTGTCACAGCATGTGAAACTACCACCTGCAGTGCCAGCATCCCATACAGGTGCTGGTTCAAGTCCTGGCTGTTCCACATCCAATCCAGCTCTCTGCTATGGCCAGGGAAAGCAGTAGATGGCCCAAGTCCTTGGGCCCCTGCATCCACGTAGGAGACCCAGAAGAATCTCCTGGCTCCTGGCTTCAGATCAGCCCAGCTTCGACCATTGTGGCCATTTGGGGAGTGAACCAGTAGATCAAAGACACACCCCTCTCTCTCTTTCTTTCCCTCTCCCTCTGAAATAAAAACGCATGCTTCTAATAATAGGACTATTTGTGAGCTTGTTGTCATCTTATCTCTAACTACTTACCTTTAGTTGTAGCGTAAGCTCTCATAAGAAAATAATTTACATACATAGTCTCTTTGAGAGAAATTCAACTTTCTAAATGGAGGTACCAACAAAAAGATTAAAAAACAGAGTCAAATTGCAAAGCAAGGTTATCTTGCTACATAACATGAGAGGCTATGAATGGAGAAAACAAACTACCTATCAAGCAAGGCTCTGCCTTTTAAAAGCTTTGCCCAACATGGTGGCAGTACATACAGTTCCTTGAAAGCCAACAGTTTCATCAAATTCTTAGATGAAACCAGTAGAGCTGAAAAGCATCAGTACCTAAGTAGTACAAGCAAGGTATTTCTAAGTTACTATCAAAGGAGATCATTACAGTAAGAATAAAGAAATTCTCATTTTCACATACTTCTTCTGCCTCTGTGTAAGGATTATCAGAATGAAATGTCTCTAGCATCTACCACATCCACAGGACAAATATTCTAGTTATAAGCATACCAAGTATCCAACAGAAAGACACAGGCTCCAATAATCCATAGAAAAGAGACAACGCTGGCACTTTCTCAGCAGAAATTCACACTCACTGAGTGCTTATTGGAAGGCACTATTCTAAGCATTTCACATATATTACCTTTTAATCTTTTCAATGATCCTATGATGTAGGTATCGTTACTATTAGTCCTATTTCATAATAATGAACAAGGACAAGAAACAGACATGTCAAGTAAGATTGCTAAAAATCACACAACTACCAAGCGGAGGAGCTAAATTCAAACACAAGGCAGCGGAGCTCAAAGCCAATACTCTTAAAAGGAATCACAGGAAGAGCAATGGCAGTTAATAATCACTAGAGAGCAATGGTAGGAGGAAGGCTGACAAAGCTCTAACATAGAATATATATATTTTCCACCAAGGCTTAGAGACTTTGTTAATTTAGAGAAAATGAACACAAGAAACTACCTAATTCATCAAAGTAATTTATTTTGTACTAGCAGAGTCCTTAAATCTTACATAAATATACTTGGCTTTCAATAAGTTATTCAGCCATAATTTAAGGGCCCTATTTCGAATAAGAATATACACACAACCTAAATGATACACATCTACAAAGGCAGCCATACTACAGATAATTGATTTATCAAGAATTTCACCAAAATGTAAGGATGTAGAACCATCTCCCAATTCTCCTGCTTGGTAGCCGTTTAGTTTTTAATAAAGATAAAATGTTTTTTTCTCAGCTTTAAGAACCCATGGTTTTCATATTTCTCATTCAAATGGTCAGTATTATATTTCAAGCATTTTAAATGTTATCCTGATTTTCATCAAAATATTTAAAAATACTTTACCAATGAAGCAAACATCCAGAAAAATCATCTCAAGGTGGTTTCCTGAATACAACAAATTTTTTAAATTGACAATTCAAAGAAATCATAAAGGGGCTGGGAAAGTGCCAGTTGTGATGCCTGCATCCCACATCAGAGTGCAGACTTGAGTCCTGGTTACTTCAATTCACTTGAGA